GCAGTGTCCCTGGCCCTCATATGTGGGATCCGAACCAGGGCCCTCTGGCGTCCCAAGCCAGCTCTTAACCATCGCGCCACTCGGCCGGCCCTGTTTTCCATTCTTACTTGCCCAATTCCACTCTCTTCTGTACTAACACCCCTCAAATAGGTAACCTTATCAATCAGTTTTTTGTGTATTCTTACAGATTTTCTTTGTATATCTATATGCAAATATGAATGTACATTTTTATTTTTTACAGCAATATTACACATTTGTACCTTGCTTTCTTCAATTATTGATTTGTTACTTAATATATTTGTAGTATATCAAAATGTGGGTATGTAAAAGATTTAAGATTTTATATACTCCAGAAAAGACCCATTTGATTTGAAACAAAATATTAATGTCATTAGCAAGAGCAAATTATTTCTACATTTTATTGCAAGTTCTACTCTAAAGGTTGATTGAAATCTATGAGAACCTTCTAAATATGCTACTCATGTTTTTAATCTGGTATACTCTGAACATAAAGATATAACTACACTTATTTGACTTATTTTTCATTTGTTTTAGGGCTGTATTGTGTGGTTTTTATGCCATCCAGGTCTTGCATGCATTTCTTTCATGTTTAATGACTACCAAAGAGATAAGGTAAGTAATATACATGATCAAAATAGCGTTTCGTAGTCTTTATTGAGAAATTATTAAAGTAGGAAAGGCCTATTTATCCATTCAGAAATCTTGAGTTTTTTTAAAATAGAACTTTGAAACAAAATATTAAACTGGTGATTAAATAAATTAGAAGTTCAAAATACAAAAGGAAAAAATTTTAATTTAGTTTATAAGCAAAATGATGGAAAATAGCTTTGTTATTCATATTTTAGCGTATTTTATAATGCCATCTTATAAATTAAATTAGAGAATTCATAACACATCTATGTTAAGAAAAAAAAGACTAAAATGTTTTGCTGCGTAACGGTAAAAATCAAGATATATTTATAAAAATCAGTCTAGTTGCTTTAACAGACTACAGAATGGAGTGCCACACTCAAGTATGCCACAGTTTGATTGTGTTGATGCCTACTTTCTCGGGTGAGCAGCTCCACCATTTCAAAGTGAAAGTCCGCTAGGACCCCTTTACAAGTAATGCAGCATGAACATACAAATGTGTCTTGAGCCTGAGGTATTTACAGTGGGTAAATAGATAGGAAAGTAGTCTACAAATATAGAGAAGTGACTTGAGAAATTTTGAAAGGGCTTTTAGAGTACTCTTCAAGATTCAGGTAGGGGCATGCTTTATTCCTATATCTAGGTTAGCCAGAACCTGATTTTTCTTATTTCTGTAGCATGCGTACCCTAAGGAGAGAATGGCATAGCAAATTTTATCAAATGTTGTGTCTTATTTTGGTATTTCTAAACTGTTAGTGGAATTTTACTTTTGAACAATTAACAGTTTTGAACATTAGTCATATTTTCCAATTGAAAATTTATTTGATAAAATGTACTCATGGTAAAAATGGAGGATGAGGAGTATGTGTATGTGTGAATGGAGATAGAGAGACAGACAGACAGACAGACAAGAAAATGTATGCACATTTTAAGAAAGGAAAAACGGTATTAAAATTGTAATAATATATACTGATAACAAAAGATGAATACAGACCAGGTGTATACATTGTTTTGGCACCCCCAGTATATATAGTGTATATATTAAATATATATGTTTATATACATAATATATACATATAAAGTATATATAGATTCATGATAAATTGAATATAATTTCTCTGTTTTTACACGCAGTATAAACATTCCCTTTTCTTTTCAGGTTATTACAGTAGGTGTTATCCTTTGCCAGTCTGTTTCCATGGTTATTCTCTACAGACTCTTTCTGTCCCACAGTCTCTACTGGGAAGTTTCTTCACTTTCCTCAGTGACACTACCACTGACCATATCATCTGGACACAAAAGTCGACCTCACTTCTGATACTTGATTTTCTTTGAAGGAAAAGTGGACTGATTGAACAGAGTGCAATAAGGATCCAAGTACAGTGACTTTTTTTTCATACTTTTGGTATGAAAAATTGAACAGAGAAAGCAGAGCATGTAATTTATACAACTGCATTTAAGCAGTACCAAAACTGAAAAAGATAATAAATGTAATGTTTTTAAATATACTTAATAAACCTTGAAGAGTGTTATTACAAGGTGATTTATGCATTCTCCATATGGAAATAAAGATCAAAAAGAACTATGATATTTTGGTAAGAGATTCACCACTTATAATGCCTCATCGTATCTCAATAGTTAACTCAGGTTTCATGGTCTTATAAAAAGTAATCAATTAAATGATTACTTGCTTATATATATATATCTAAACTAAGTCCAGTTATGAAATCAGTGTAGTACACTGATTAAAAACTGCTTTTTTATGCTTTAAGAAAATGCATTTCATATTACAGTTTAAAAGAATTGAAAATGAAATCACTTCAGAAAATGAATATAGTTAAATGAATAAGCTTTTGTTTCTGGGTGGGGTTTTTCTCCATTTTCTTCTATCACTTTGGCTCTAGTTCAGGTTTTAGTTTAACAAAGGGTTTTTTTTGACAGTTTATGAAAAATAAAATTAGATAAATGGGTTTTAAAAGCTGAGCTTTTAGGTGAAGGGACACACAGTTTTACATGTTTAAAACGAAAGAAGGAAAAAATACTATATGATATGTACTAAAATTTTAATCCTGATATAATTCGTTTCTCTTACATTGAATCCCCAATCATAATTAAGCCATATACACAGATTAAATTAACAGAAGCATTTCACATAAATGTGGTTTCAGTCATCAACTACCCATGAATTCCTGCCCAAGGATACTTAATCAGGATTAAATTTTCTATGAATAATTGAAAAACAAAATACTCACTGGATTTGTTATAATCCATATTGGCACTGGATTCTAAGTAGTTGCCATCTTGAATCCTTTGTAATAAAGCCATATTTTTTTGTGTATGCCCCAGTATTGAGTATGCTAGCTAAAATATATTCTATCAAGTGCCTATTTAAAGAATTGCTAAGTGGCTGTTGATACCTGCTGTATGAAGTGAGTGTTCCCATTAACAGTCAGATTGGAAATGATTCTGTTTCTGTTTGTCAAGTTATTCAGGTCTTTTCGTTTTTACCTCTGGCTTATTTTAAAAAAATATATTTTAAAATCTGTTTTCAAAGGTATTAACATTTTTAAGCAAGAAATGGTGCACTGTTCTGGTAATTAAACTTTTTAATTAAATAGTTAAAATAACATAACACAACTTCAAAATATCTGTGGCTTCATTTTTATTTTTCCCTTACACTTAGTCCCATTGGAGATGAATAGTGTTCTGTTTCATTTTAAAGGCAAAATATGTGTTTGTGACTAGCAAAATGGCAAAGTGACGAAGAAGTTCAGCCTGTTCATTAAATCATCTCTGACAGTTCTTTGTAAATTATTTAATATATGAAAGCTACAGGCTGAGACTAGAAAGTCTGGGGTATATTTTAGGTTTACATGATCTGCTGAGTGATCCTGACCTTTTTTTTCTCCTTAACCATATCTCACTAATAACCCCAGTTATTGTCTGTTGTGTTCAATTGAAGTGCAGTTAATTAAGCTGAAAAAAAAGTGAAGCCTTTTCATAGATTTTGCGAACTTGCAACAATGGGAAGGGAATTATGAAATACATTATTGTGCTTGCACTTATGAAACTGTAACACTTTTTTTCTTTATTTTTTAATTTATGGTTGAATTTCCTGATTATTTTGTTATTCAAGAGCCATTGTTAAATGAAGCAAAACAGTTGTTAATAATTAATGTATGTAAAGTTTAGTAATCAAAACTCAAAATTATAGTTCATAAGTCATGACATAGCATCCCCGTTTTTCTGAATGTTTACATGGAGATATGTCACACAGATTACAGGAAGATACGTGTATACTGCAAACTCTAATTAAAGATCAAAACTTTTCTACTTTTCTTTCTCTGTCAGCTAATGCCTTTTTAAATCTATTTTTACTTTTTTTTTTTTTAAAAGAAGATGAATGGTCCATCTAGAGGTCTTTTTTTAGAAACATTTTGATTTTTTCAAACTTAGGAAGGTATAGCGGATGTTTATTTTTAATGACATCTATAATAATGTTAGCTCCTACGTAACTGAGTGCTTACTGTTCATCAGGCCCTTACACTCATACTAAGCCTTACTGCATAGCCACACCCCCTTTGACTGAGTATAAGAAAGAACAAATGATTCCTCTGAAGTCACCTGACTTTTTTATTTTTCTACTTTACCCTCATGATATAATTAGCACCTGTTAGGTGTATATGTTTTTAGTGAGAGTGAATGGCTATTCGTAGTTAATTGTAGCTGTTGATTTTAGCATATTTAGCCTGAAATCATGCTGAAATAAAAAATGAGCTTGAATATCTATAAGTGTGTACCTCAGCACATTTAAATATTTGAACCTTGGCTTTCAGCCAGACAGCTAGCAGGGAGAGAGAATCCAGGCAGAAGAACTTGCTTTAGGAACTGTTTTCATGATTTCAAGTAAAGTAACACAAGTCTGATGAAAATAGGAGATATGCAAGTCTCGGGTCAACTGTACCATAACGAGACTAGGACCTGAACATCAGCATGGGACTGGCCTCTTACAAATGCTGCCGTTGGGAGGCTGTGCATAGTCTCTGGAAATTCTTTGAAAATCTGAAATGATTTGTGAAACATTTTCTTTAAATAGCTTAGTAGTATCATATCTTTGATATTTTTTGTTTGTTTTTGAGAATTGATTGATAGCCAATCAATTTGAAACCGGATCTGAAGAGGTAATATTTTTTCTTTCAACATGAATTTGTGAATTGAGACTACATTAATGAGATTGGTTTTTCTGTGAAATCTGAAAACTAGCGTAGAGCACGCTAGCCAGAACTCTTGCAGTAGTTTCCTAAGCAACATGACTGCTCCCACACTTGGACATCCCTCTCTGCACAACGGCAAGGGCATCGTGTGCCTTGTCCTCTAGGAGTATCATTTCTGTCCAATACCAGGAGTCCTGCCGTGGTGGAAAAAGTGACCCTGCTCACGCATTCTCTGCAAAGCAAAGCTGAATGAGATCATTCTTTGTGTTAACCTTACACCTTTTTTTAAAGTTTGAAATTATTTTACAATAGAGTAAACAAAAAATGTTTACTGCCCTGTTAAAAACTTCATTTGCTTCTCATTGCACTTAGAAAAAAGTGCCCTACAAGGCCCTACAAGGATCTGGTTCCTGCTTCTCTCATCTCATTTCATATCACTCTCCCTCTCACCATGCCCAGCCTCATCATCAAATACCTCATTTACATCACTGCCTTAGAGCCTTTGCAACTAGCCCTTTCTTCTGCCTGAAATACTCTCTTCTAAATCTTGGCATGGTTGCATGGCTGAATCCTCCTCATTCGTCAGGTTTTCAGCTCATGTAGCTCAGAGACCTCTGACCATCTGTGGTAGATTTATATGGTGCACCGTGAGCTAAGCTGGAGATAACGTTCCTCGGAATTTCTCCCTGCAGAATTCCAGGATAGTGTGGGTCACAAGAGATGTTTGGGGTGAGATTTAGAATGTGGAAGTAAGGTAGCTAGATCCAGATTCTTTTTATAATTGAAAGGTCCAAGCAGGGTGAACACAGCTGCTGCTCTCCCACGTTGTTAGTTATCTACTGGCTCGTCTTGGCCTTGGGCCAACAGACAGGACCACAGGAATGCCAGCTTCTGCTGGATTGCCTCCTTCAGCTGCTCTGGCTCCTGGGCCAGGTATGTGTTTTACTCTGTGACAAGGGTGCCGGGTTCTGCAAGACAACCTCGTTGCTGAGGTTGGAGGCTTGGAGACAGACTGGTATGAGTTTCACTCTGTCCTCATGCGTTCTACTCATCCTGTCCTTGCTCCCCCCACTTGACAGCCATCCTCCCTTCCCACCTGCCAGACACAAAACGAACAACTTCTGAGAATTCCTATAACAAATCCCTTATATATATTAAAGACGGTGTGTGTGTGTGTGTGTGTTATCCTAATGGTTCTCCTTTCTGATCAGACCCTCACTGATATGCCATCCTGTCTAATGCTGCTCCCCAACCCTAATTACTCTATTGCATTATCCCCTTTCTCTTTATATACTTACTGTTTTATCTTTGCCTGTTGGCTCTCTCCCCAGTTTAAATGTAAATTCTAAGGGAGTTTGGCCATTGTCTGTATTGTTCATTGCTGTATCCCTAATACTTAGAACATTCCCTGATGTACACTAGATGCTCAAAAATATTTTTGAATGAATGGAGAAGAGTTCCAGATATAGCAATATAGCATTATTAAATAATAGAATCTCTCATAGTGACTTCCGTAATTCCATATCTGTTCTTTATTCAATTATTTGGAACTAAAAATGTGTGAAATTTTTGAGTAGTCAAGTAGTTGTTATAAAGTCTAATCTCTAAAACTCACCAATTATGAGAGGATTCCCCAAGTTGCTGAAGAGGCAGTTTCCTTCTATTTTGTATTAATGTAATGTATTAGGACCATTGGTCTGGTTTCTCAGCCCACCACAGTGAAACCACCAATTTAAGAGAAGTTTGAGTCTGCTGGAGGAAAAGATAGTTAACAGTAGTCAAGCAGCTGGAAGAAAACAGAAGAGCTAAAAATGACACTCAAATCAGCAGCCTGGGGTCATTTAGTGTGGATGAAAATAGCCCTGTGTGCCCTAATAGACTCTTAGAGCTTCATTGTTTAATGTAATTCATGACAATAGCCTTAGTAATCTAAAAGTTAAATTATAAATTATGTTCAGTATCCTCAGA